TATTCTTCTATTTTTGCTTTATTTTTAAAAGGCAAATTTAAAAATATTCAGCATCGCAAAGGTGCACAAGATAAAAAAAGAGCAAAAATTTTCACGAAGCTGGTGAGAGAAATTATTACTGCAGCTAAAATGGGGACGGATGTTAATAATAACCCCCGCCTTAGAAATAGTATTATTGCAGCGCGTAGTCAGAATTTACCACGCGAGCGAATTGAGAAAGCGATAAGCTCCGCTAATGATGCTAATAATACAGAACATTACACTGAGATTAGATATGAAGGTTATGCTCCAGGGGGTATTGCCATCATAGTGGAAGCTTTAACTGACAATAAGAATCGCGCTGCCGCTGAAGTCAGAGCAGCTTTCACTAAATTTGGTGGTAATTTAGGAGAAACTGGCAGTGTTAGTTACATGTTTGACCACGTGGGAGTAATTAAGTATCAATTACCGGTTTCCTCAGCAGACTCTATGCTTGAAGCGGCATTAGAAGCAGGAGCAAATGACATGAGCTCTGAAGACGAATTTTATTTAATTTATACTGATATTGAAAATTATGCGCAAAGCCTTGAAATATTAACTAGTAAATATGGGGAACCAGCAGAATCTTATATTAGTTGGATTCCAGAAAATCTTATTACTATAGATAATAAAGATAAAGCAGAGAAATTGTTAAAATTAGTAGATTTGTTAGAAGAAAGTGACGACGTACAAAATGTGTTTGGTAATTATGAATTATCTGACGAAGTTTATGAGCAGATGAAGGATATTTAGATGACCTGCCAAATTATTGTTTTAGCTGCTGGGAATGGGCATAGAATGGACTCGGAATTACCAAAGGTAATGCATGAAGTCGGCGGCAAGGCGATGATAGAGAGGGTACTTGCTAATGCCCAAAGCATAACAGATGATATTATTTTAGTACACTCTCCACAGTTGGAGCCGTATATCACCTCGTATAGAAGTATTTGCAAATTTGTACTACAGCCAAGACCAGTTGGAACAGCGGGCGCTGTTTATAATGCTTTAGATTTAGTAGACGATAATAAAATAGTTTCAGTACTATATGGAGATAATCCTCTAATTACTCCTCAGATTATAAATGACTTACTAAATCATTTAATGACTACTAATTCATCTCTTGCTACTTTATGTTTTGAACGGGAAAATCCAGCGGAATATGGCAGAATAATTACTGATCCTTTAGGAAATTTTATAAAAATTGTTGAATTTAAAAACGCAACAAATGAAGAAAAAGCAATCAAGATTTGTAATTCAGGAATTATGGCATTTAAACCTGCTATATTACGAAAATATTTACCCTTAGTTTTGCAGCAGCACCCTAATCAATTACAAGAAGTATATTTAACTACTATTGTAGAAATTACTAAAAGTAAAGGGGAGCAAGTTTCTTATTTGTTGTCTCAAGCTGATAATTTAGTATTAGGAATTAATACTAGGCAAGAATTGGAAGAGGCTAATAAGACTATTGCACATTTAGAAAAGCTAGTAAACAATTAATTGAAAAGAGAACAGACAAATTATGGCTAGTGAAATATTATCATATCCTGAGAGAAAGAGCTTAAATAAGGAATGTAACAAATTAGTAGTCCTCTTGCATGGTTTGGGCTCAGATGGCAATGATTTGATAGGTTTAGTTCCTTTTTTGGCGCCGGAATTGCCCGATTGCCATTTTATCTCTCCTCATGCTGTTGAACCCTTTCAGGGCGCAGCCTATGGTAGGCAATGGTTTCCTATTAATGGTTGTAGCCCTGAAATGTTAGCGCGAAACATTGGCTTGCTGGAAAATATTATTAGAGAAAAACAAAAAAAATTAAATTTGACTAATAAAGAGACTATAATTATCGGTTTTTCTCAAGGTACTATGATAGGGTTATACTTAAATTTCTTGCAACGAGAACCATTTTATGCGGTCGTAGGGTTCTCGGGTAGGTTAATCTTACCTTCGGAATGTGTAAATAAAACTACTCCTATTTGCTTAGTGCATGGAGAATTAGATGATATAGTTAAGGTCAGTAGCATGGAGGAGATAATTGAATATTTAAAAAAATATAACATAACTTATAGTAGTTATAAAATACCTGATCTTATGCATACTATTGATTCTCGTGGTCTTATATTTGCATTAAAATTTATTAAGGAGCTGAATTAATGGGTATTTTTTTTAATAAATTATCCAATCATTATTGNCTACTGACCTTAACTATATCATCTAATTCTCCATGCACTAAGCAAATAGGAGTAGTTTTATTTACACATTCCGAAGGTATTGGAGGCTGCAGGTTCAGTTCTTACTAATAAATATGCTGAAGGCTATCCTGGAAAACGGTTCTATAATGGTTGTGACCAGGTAGATAAAATTGAGAATCTAGCTATTGATAGGGCTAAAAAGCTATTTAATTGTAAATATGCTAATGTACAACCGCATTCTGGTTGTCAAGCTAACCAAACAGTATTCTTAGCCTTATTAAAACCTCATGATACCATCCTTGGGATGTCATTAGATGCGGGGGGGCATTTAACGCATGGTGCTCCTCCCAGTCTGTCTGGTAAGTGGTTTAATCCTATTTTTTATAGTGTAGATAAAGACACTTATTTGATTGATTATGAGCAAGTAGAAAAATTAGCTTTACAACATAAACCAAAATTAATTATTGCAGGCTATTCTGCCTATACTCGGCAATTGGACTTTGCTAAATTTAGAGAAATAGCTGATAAAATTGGGGCATATTTATTAGCAGATATTGCACATATTGCTGGGCTTGTAGCAACAGGGGAACATCCTAGCCCTTTGCCGTTTGCACACATTGTAACTTCAACTACTCATAAAACTTTACGGGGGCCGCGTGGAGGACTAATTTTATCAAATGACGAAGAATTAGGAAAAAAAATAAATCTTGCTTTATTTCCTGGGTTACAAGGGGGTCCTTTAATGCATATTATTGCGGCAAAAGCTGTAGCATTTTTTGAGTGTTTAAAGCCAGATTATTCGCTATATATCAAGCAGGTAATTACTAATGCCCAGGCGCTTGGTAGTAGCGTAATGAAAAGAGGCTACGATATCTTAACTAATGGTACCGATAATCATATGATATTAATTGATTTAAGAAAACACGGCATTACCGGTAAGATAGCTGCCAATTCTCTTGACAGAGCAGGGATAACGTGTAATAAGAATGCGGTACCATTTGACCCTACTTCTCCATTTATCACGTCTGGTATCAGGCTAGGAAGTCCAGCATGTACCACCAGAGGGTTTAAAGAAAAGGAGTTTTTAGAAGTTGGTGAAATGGTTTGTGATATACTAGATGTGTTGAAAACTAACCAACATATTAGTGCACGTGAAGATAGTGTCTATAAGCGAGTTCAACATCTAGTAAGTAAATTCCCTCTCTATAAACCTAATGCGGTATAGCCTGCGGTATTTAGCTGGTGACACTTGATTTTGCAGAGCTCGGTTGTTCACGTATTATCTATACGCTGCGCAACCTCACCTTTAAATTCAAGTGTCCTAACTAAATCACTTTGGCTATAGGATAAATAATTTGGGTCCGTATTTTTTGCTCTACCCTCAAGAATTGCATTTTTATTTTACCCTAATTCGCATGCTCATAGTACTCTAGGGTATGTCGTCATGAGATTTTAGTCCACATTAGTAATCCTCTCAGACAAAGGCCTGCCAGGTATGATTTTGTATTTTTAGCATATCTTGTTGCTATACCACGCCATTCTTTAAATGTTTGAAATGTATTTTCAATAATGTGTCTTAGTTTATATAGATCTTTATCTATCTCTCTTTGAATTTTTCTGTTTCTTTTTGATGGTATTACAGGAATTATGTTTGCTTTCTCGGCAGATTCCACGATAATATTTGTATCATAAGCTTTATCCGCTATAATGTGCTGCGCATCTATATTTTGGATTAACTCACAAGCTTGAGTACAATCGTTTCTGGAACCTTCTGTAATAATAATTCTGACCGGCATACCATGCGCATCCACGGCCATATGTACCTTTGTATTGAGCCCCCTTTTGTGCGGCTAATCGTTTGATTCCCGCCTCTTGCTCCAAGTCCTGCTTTATGAGCTTTTACAAATGTAGAATCTATCATTAACCATTCAAAATCAGGGTCATTTATAAAAATATTCAGTAAGTGCTCCCATA